GGTTTTCATGCAGTTATCGCGTGTTTTCGTTTGTGCAAATGTTTTTTTTAAAGACGCACGGTTTTCAATGCAAAGAGATGTCTATGGGACCTAAACCGTGTCACAACCGGCCGAAAATAGCTCTTGTACTTTTTTGCTCGACAGGTGATTTTGTCCGCGCTAGAAACTGCAATGGTGTGAACAGCCTCCATTGACTTTAATGTGAATCTATGTTTTGCGCGATAGTGCGACTCAATCCGCTCGATAAATCGCCTAGGTGTGAACTTAGCCTTAGCCTGTTCAACCTGTTCACAGCGGAGGAAAGGGCCTTCCTCTGTTAATGGGCTGAATGTTTTTTAGGTACTACTAGTTTTTTGCACTTGTAATGATGGTGTTTGATTCACAGCGATCGCCAGGTAGAAACCTACTATATTTGGCACAATATGACTGTGATCTGAGCGGTTCAATGACCGCTCAGATCACAGCTATTCAGGAGCCCACTGTCTACCTAAGTGAATTGTCTGAAGTGCCGTTTATAAATAGCATGCCTGAAATACATGTCCACCTCCCCACTATTTTTTTTTTTTTTTTAATATAATACAGCGGTGCGTAGGTGGTCAAAAACAAAGTTTGAAGTCAACAAACCAAAGCAAACGGAGGAGGACTGAATTTTTAGTTTTTTCTTTTTTAATGCTTCTTTATTTTTTTAGTGATTCTTTAATTTTTGTATTACTACTTTTTTTATACAACTTTATTGCTTTCACATGGAGGGGCTAACAAGCCCCCTATGTGATAGACAATTTACATGACAGATCCTCTTTACGAAGACATCAGGGGTCTCCAAGACCCCCAATGTCACCTAGGGACCCCCAGAGAAGCTGATGAAGCAGAGACCTGCTTCATCAGCTTCTGTAGCTGGAAAGTGACACTGAAGGTATATTACATCACTTCCTGCATTCCGCGACTGGAGAGGAGATCAAAGGGAGTTGTGTACTGAACTCCCTCTGATCTCCTGTCACAGAGCCGTGCCGGCAATGGCAGTGACAGCTGCTGGTAATACAAGAGATTGAATGTAAAGCGGCCGGCCGTGTAATTACAACGGCAGGCCGGGAAGCTGCTCGTCGGACGCCGCCGTCCTCTCGTCACAGACGACTGGATTTTTCAAGCCATGTATGTGTATATGTGTATATATATATGTGTATATGTATATATATATACATACATACACACGGGCAGCATCTTTCCTTATTACATACTTGGGTCCTGCTTTATTCTTTGCATTGGTGCACAATAGTTGTGTTTTACTGCTCCCTCTTAAGGTGGCCATACACTCTACAACCATCGCAAGACTTTAGTCTTGCGATGGTTGTAAAGGGATTAAAAAAACGTACGATCTGCCTATCTTGGACAGGCAGATCGCACTCTCGATCATCGCAAGCCCGCCCTCCTGAGGGGCGGGCTTCCGATGACCGCAATGCTGAGCGGGCAGTGTGCGCGTGCGCACACCGGCCCGTTCAGCATTTATCTTCCGAGCACCGTTCTAACCAGCCGAGAATCGTACGATTCCCGGCTGGTTTTCGAACATGCTGGTTCGACGGAAGACGTGCGACCGTACAGTAGAAACGGTCGCACGTCTCCGTTCACACTGCTCGATTATCGTACGAAAACCCGATCGCATACGATTATCGTACGATAATCGTGCAGTGTATGGGCACCTTTACACTACATGTCTATGAATCCATTGTCCGATATGTTATCTCAACAGTAAACATGCTAGATATACCCTGCCTTGAAACACCGGAGCTTTATTTTCGGTAATTGGGGGCAGCGCTCTTTAAATTTGTAGATTGCTTTTAAATGTGTACATGTATAAAAGGGGCATCTTAAATAACATTTCTCACATCTTTAAAATTTTCTCACCAAAGTTTAGGAGAAGTTTTGTCAGTTTTTTATGTTGTGCTTTATTTACTCAGGGAGTCAATTCTTTAAACAGATGTGTGTTAAGTGATAGAAGTCACAAACGCAAAGGAGGGTTTTAACTGGGAGATAGTTACTGGAGCAATGGGAGGCATGGGTTGAGTCTCTGGCTGCAGATGCAAAGCCTGGAGTGCAGATGCTAGTAAGGCTGCCGGCTGAAAGCATACTTTGCTCAGTGTGCAGGTTCTGAGTGCAGGCTTCACTAGCTCATGGAGTGTAAAGGACACTCAGCTTGGGTGGTGACAGCTTGCCCCAATTTAGTTTATATGGGAGAAGTCATGTGATGCACACTGTGACGCATTACATGGCCAGACAATACTGGAAGAATCCGGAAGTGTCCATGGCCACAGGGAACAGAGCAGTGCAGGAGCATGGCAGGTCAGTGATCGTGAGAAATACAGATATTTATAATCTAAGAAATAACATTATAAGTTAGTAATGGGACTTACTGTTTTGGGGTCACCGACTGTAAAATGTATCATATCGGGTATGGATTATGGAATGCAATAACATAAGTGGTTGTAGCCCATTATACTAGTGTTTTAGCTGTACAGACCTATACGGTGGGTAAAATACAAAATTTAGCTCCTGTCTGCATTTTGTTTGGGTCTGTCATTTTGAAAGAAAAAGGTTCTTCAAAGCTCTAGACATAAATCCGACTGTGTGGATTCTGGAAAATGTACCAGGCTTTACAGACTGTACAGTTCTATCAGATGGTAATGACACTTACACCAACAGTCAAAAATGTACCCCCTGCTGTGGGGACCTAATTTTAAAATTTTGATAATTTAAGTGCTGGTACTGCAACTATATTTTTCAATACTAAACCTAGTTCTTAAGTTTTTACTTCTGTACTATACCTGTACTGAGGAAGAATCGTGTCTGCCATTGCTGACCTCTTGAAAATCCTAGTTACGTAGTGATCACGATGATGTGTTGGCTTCAGTATTTTACTGATTTGGCGCAGATCAGGAGTTTTGCCTTGACACTATCTTATCTGCATGCTTGTTCTAAGGTCATGCTTGCGCTAAAGCCAGAAGCATCCAGGCAGCTAGCATTTTGAGAAGGAGGTCTGTGATTGCCGTCCCTGTATTTTGCTCAGTAGAGATTTTCTTTGATGGCTACAGCATCCCTTATGACCTATTGCCCACCCAGAATCAAATCATAGACCGCACAATCCTTCAATTCTTTCAGCCAGTGAAGGAACAATTTCCTTTGATCAGAGTGACAGCTCCACCTACTTGATTCTGGTGCTGGCGATTGAAAAAAAGCTTTAATTGCATACTGCTGATACATACAGGCTCAGCGTGTTGCACATTCACTCAAAATGTCTTGCCTTTCCTTCTAAGTCAATGTTCAGTTGTGTAGGTATATCTGAGAATGTACTGCTTCTGATGCTCTGAAACACTTGCTTCCACTCTGTTAATTCCCACACAGCCCAATTGTCACAAAAGATGCTCTAATCTCTCGGATCAGTTTATTTTATATTTTATCAGTGGAGTCCCTCAGACTAGCATCAGCAGTAGTTGCTGCTGCCTGTGGTAACCTTCCTTTGCTCTCATTTATTTCTCGTCCAAAAACTTGTCCACAGCCAGATTGATTTCAGGACATCAAGCCTTGTGTAATGAGCCTGGCATCCTCTATGGAGAGGTTGTCATTTAAGTACTATCTGCACAAAGCATCTTGAACTTGACAAGCCAATACTAATTAATAAGCTGTGTCTGTGCTTTCAGTAAATAATGGCAAGAGGATGTGGGATTCCCTGCTACTTCATAACATCATAGCAAACACTTCTTTGAGATCATGGGACCAAAATGGAATTTAGATGGTGAAAACCACTGGCTAGGTTCTTGTTTTTTACAGTCCATGGTGCTCTGTAAATGTGTTCCCCTTTATTAGAGGAACTCCAGTCCAAACGATCAAGTTGAAACAAGCAGTTTCCTACTATTTCTGGGTACAATAATGCTCTACAGTACAACAGGGTCACAACCATTCTAAAGGTTATTGTCTAATAGTTTTCTTTGTCTAGAAAGCAAAATATACAGAAAAAAATTATCTATTATTTAGAAATTTCCCGGGCAAAGGGTTTTGTATTTGCACTTGGTACATCTGTAATCATTGATAGTAGTATCTGTAGTAGCACCAATATGTTGCATACATATCAGCAGTGAATTGCAGTTCTCTAAGACTTTATTAGAATTACTGGTAGGCAAATATTTGGGGTCAGAAATATGGCTTCCAGTCCCCTTTAACAGTAACACATATTGTAAATCTGTGCATCACTTAGTGAAACATTGAGGGTTGTGTTTCAGTCTCTGGAGAAGGAAGGGAGCAGCCATTTACCTGTATATAGGCATATACTGTGGTAAGAGAAATGCTTATTGGTAGAAGTATCCAAGAAAGCCAGTAGCTGATTTACCCAACATCTGTACCCAGGCCTATAGGTTGGCCTGATAAGTTATAGATCATTGATTTACCAATCAGTCTGAAATCAGCTGCACTGGATGTCAGTCATCTCATATCATATCACTAGATGGCTTTGTACCAGCAGATAGCTCAATGCCAACTGTGGCAGTAGCTCTTAATAATCAACATGTAGAACTGTTGTAAAGATTTGACTACTGTGTCAGGTCCTGTTTCACAGAAATTTGTGCATGACATTGTAATACTTATGTGATAAGAAGGTAAAAAATAAATAGAATATATATATATATAAATATATATATATATATAAATTTTTTTTTTTCTTAACTCTCACCATTGAGGAGGTGAAATAACATATTCAGTTTGTAAATGTTAGGAGGTAACTGTTGGCTTAGGAAAAGTTCAGTGATAATGTTAATGACTTAGAGGAGTCAACTTTATAAATGACACGATTAAAGTTTTGTAGTCTGAAAAATAATAATAATAATGTACCACAAAGCAATGGGAGATAAAAGAGTATAATAGATACACCTCCCCATAGAATTTCACTCAGGACATGAATAATCAGGCATGCTCTGTTTCGTACTAATACCAATTAACTTTTCCTTTTGACCTCTAAGGTTCCCCAAGCAGAGACGTCGGGCCTTCATTAGGCCTGAAGAAATCGAGCTCATTAGAAAGTCTGCAGACAGCGGTGGCCGAGGTGACTTTGAACGGTGACATTCCTTTTCATCGCCCACGCCCGCGAATCATTCGAGGACGAGGCTGCAATGAGAGCTTCCGAGCTGCTATTGACAAGTCCTATGACAAGCCACCTGTTGATGATGACGATGAAGGCATGGAGACATGTAAGTTATGGCCCGTTCTTCCAGATGGGAGGAAAGGACAAAGTCATTCTGTGATGATTTTGCTTTAAACATTGTGAGCAGATTGATGGTTTTAATTGAGGATGTCCCTTTCCCTGTCCTGTAATGAACATCTGACACATTTATTTTAATCCTAATAGACCAATATATTATATAAAGCTTATTACCAGAGCTTTCATCAATGTGCTGCTTGGGGCTTTATCTTCTGTATTTAACAGATCTTGAAAGTAGCATTTGGATCTGTCTAGATGTGTATGTGCTACATATAAAAGGAAAGGCGGAGGGTCACTGTAGCAGGACATCAGGAAAAATGTCTTCTGGGTCATTGTCATTTTCAGAAGGGGAGACTGTAACTGAACGCCTCACTCTCTGGGTCACTACAGCTGACTTAAAACATCCAAAGGAAAGATGTACACTAACGTATCTCCCCATGTACTTCACAAAATAAGGTCTTGCTTTCAATCCATGTTAGAGGCCAATCATGTTGGAATGGCATTTTGTTTATATTTTTTTTTTCCTTAATTACAAGGTTTTAGAGGCACTTAATATAGACAATGCAAAGGTTCATCCAGCTGTCAGCTGTGTTCTCTATTCACCATACAGGGCTATTGCCTCTACACACAGACTCTTGTATGAGCCTTTAAATGTCTTAATGTAAACTAGTAGGAAATGTATATATTTGGAACTGATGTTCCTGCATTGAAGCAATCATCCAAAGGTGCCAGCCTTTTTACAGTCCTGCAGAATGTTGCCACCCCAATCTACTGAAAGCCATTGTATAGGCACTTCCCCTTCTGTAGCCCATAATTCAGTGCTCAGTACTTTAAAGAACCATTGAAATGCTTGGGCCTTGACACCTGTGAGATGGGGGCATGCCAATGCTTCAGCTTTTAGTTGGTATTCTGCATATATTTTTCTGGTGTCTAGCCGAGCTTGGAGGATCAGCATATGAAGCGTTTGCTTTGTTCATAATTTATTTTTATAACACAACACTTTGAGGCATGCTGTTCTTGCCTTCCATGCGGTCCCCCCATCACCCTTTTTCACCGCCGGGAGCCCAAGGAAATAAGATGCAGGATCATGGGACCTTACCATACTGTCACCCACAATATAGCACTTTTTGTCTAAGCACTCCCAAGGAAGAGGGGACAGAGCCTGCATAGCCCCGCGTAATATTTAGCCTTTTATACAAAGTCTACACTTACACTGGAGTTTTTATGGTCATAGGGAGCGCTGTCTTACATTGTCTACTATAAGGGGGAATCTGCAGTTTTCCTACTTGTTGCAAAGTACAGATTCATTTTAACTTTAGCACTTGTTTGTTTTATGTTTCACATGATGAAAACTACTACATGTTCTTCCTTTCTTTACCCAGACATATTATATGGCTGGAAATGATACAAAGCAGACCTTATTACTGCTTATTTCAATTTTTTTATGTACCAATGTACCCAATTTAGACAATTGATTTTTTTTTTCCTGTAGTAGAATTACTGTGATTTTATTGAGGAAAGTTCAATACAACGGTCCACTTAATTGATTAAACACATAAATACCTCACAGAGTGCTCCACATCTAAGGCCATGGTATAGTGGATCATTGCTAGAAACCTTGAAAATACAGGCTTTTAGTTCAGCCAAGAAATGCGGGATACTGCATCAACCTTTCCTACCTTCCCCCAGCTACTCTCCTCTAGATTGTTCTCTTTATATTATTTTCTGAGTTTAAAGCTGAAGTACAGGTAATCAGTAAATGCAGTTGAAATAGATATATGTGAACTTTTTTTACCTGCTAAATGACTGTGATTGTGTTTTAGTCAGTCTTGTGATCCATTCAACCGATTGAACAGTACACTCAGGTCATGGTCCTTCTTGCTAAATATACTGCAGTAAAAATACACCTGTCATGAGTGAACTATCATAGGTGTATATGACTTCTTCTGAAAATGCATGTGCTAGACTGTCATGTTCATGGTCTGGCTTCATTCAGTTCTTTATAAATCATTGGCCCTGACATGCTCGGACCTATCATTTAGAAATATTGAAGCTGGAAAATACTGTATACCACTGTCAGCCTGGTGAAGTTTTAAAAATAGCTCAAAATGTAGTGAATCCTATCGCACTCCATACCGGATCAAGCCCACATGGAAAGTTGGGGGTGCTGGAAGTGAGTACGGATGCCTCCGCACATCAAATGTAATAAGCCAAAAAGTCACTCGCACTGTGTAGCAAATAACGGTCAATCCCCTTTATTTACCATCGTGATGTCACATAAAGCAGCGTTTCGGAATCGGGCGGTCCCTTCAGGCATTTCATGTATTGGTGATCACGCTTTTTGTTTGCCTGAAGGAGGGACTGCCAGGTTCCGAAACGTTGTTTTATTTACGTGACATCATGATGGTCAATAAAGGAGATTGACCGTTGTTTGCTACGGAGTGCGAGTGACTTTTTGGCTTGTTATTTTAAAAATAAACACACAGGAGGGGAATTAACTAATGGAAATATGTTTATTTTGGGATGTTAATATTGGCACATTTTCTGTGTGCAAAATAACAATGTTAGGAGAGTGGTTCTATGTGGGGTTGCACCAGCCACACCAATCACATTAATGTCAGATTGTGCGAGCCAAAATAGTGAATCTCTTGCCTCAATGTTCTAAATTAAAAAAAAACACTTCTACAGTATAGACCATTTTTAAAGTGGTATGAAGACTGTTAAGAGGAGGGGTCACCACAACGATCAGCATTGCAGCAAGCAGAGGCGGAAGAGAAAATTTAGAGTGATCCCAGCACAAGATTACCTTAGATATGCACCATAATTGTGCGTGCCGAAGTAAGCACACTGGCGCAGAACCACCATGTGGCAGATTAACAAAATTGACTCGTATCCCTTTATTTGTTGCAGGATTCTCTGAGTAAGCAGGCATAAAGAATTGGCAAATTTTTCGTCATATTTGTTAATCCTCCCCAGTGTTTGCTACTGGTAGGCTTGCTAAACAAGGGTAGTCCTGTGAGCTCTGTTCTATGCCTGTCATGGATTGTGAAAGAGCAGATAACCAATGGTGTTGAAATGCAGCCATTCAAGTCATCTCCATGTACCTTTATCTTTTTGCGAATTGTTCTCATCCTTTGAGGGACATGCAGAATCCGGTGGATGTACATGTCTGATAAGAATTTGATAGTTTGAGACTTTCTGGGAGCAAACAGTATTTCTTCCCTGTAACTTCAGCATTTTTTTTACTTTTTATGTAATAGTTTGCGCATTTAAGTAATACAAATGCATATGTCTGAATGATTAAGCTTTTCTAGTTAAATTATTTCAATCACAAATCTACAACAAATGTTTATTCTGTAACATTTACAGCTTTTCACTGTGTTTTGCACTTAAAGTTGTTAAACCATAAAAGTGTCAGACAATCCCATACTTCCTCCATGAGCCACAATCTGTGCCTCTTGATTGACAAAATTGTTCATTGTGTATTTTGCAATATCTGTGTGTATTTTTATTTTATTTTGAGAGCGGTAAATGTTGCGTCTGTTTCCGTGTATTCAGAATAATTATGTGAAAGTTTTAAAGTGAAATCTCGGCTCTCCAACAGTTTGCAAGGAAATTGAGTTTTCCTGCAGTTTTCCTGGAGCGGTCCTTTGAAGAATGTCGTGATTACTAATGATGAATTGTAATTTATTCATCATTTTCTTTCTATACATTGCACAGTCACCGTTCACAATAGTGCATTTCCCTTCTCCACCCCACAGTATGTCAGTTTAAATGACTAAATTGCATTTGCTGAGGTCAATGCACAATGGGTAGGTTCTGTATGAATGGCAGTAAATTAGATTACATTTTGTCTAGCCATGAATTTCATACAGCAAAACAGCTAAATGTCAGCCTGTGCTGGCCAGTCCCAGCCAGAGAGGTTAGGCTTGTGTAATGTGAGCCTAATTAGCCTGGTCTAAAGGGTAGAGCTAACATGCTGGAAGTTGGCAGCACAAAGACAATGCAGTAAAGGTTCTGACACATTGTACGATAGTAACATTTCCAAATGAGTGTTCCATTAAAAGGAATCTATTGTCTTATTTTTCCTTAGGTATGAAAATTAGCACTTTTTCATTTTCATAATATTGCCCACATTTGTGAAAAAGAGCCAATTAAAATTAATTGTAAAACTTATATAGCTGCTGGTTTAAACTTCTACTGACATCCCCCCAGCACCCCCCTGCGTCTCTCCCCCCCAGGTGGTAGGATTGTATTTGCTTTATCCATGTTATCAAACCATTGACTACTCATCCTTCTGGGGAACTTTCACTAATAATGAAAGACTTGCACTTGGCTTTAGTGGGCAACTTCTAAGGCTAAGAGCACCTTAATACCGGCATGTATCTTTATTTTCAAATAATTGTGGCAAAAAATAAAGACATCTTGGGGTATCTACTTTCCAAAAAAGCTGTCATTTTGGGGGTGTTTTTTAATACCATGACATTTTTATCTAATATGTTTTATACCAGTAAAGTAAGTGAAACTTGTTTTGTTTTTTACTTAAAAAATGTTAGGTCATTGTTTTAAATATAGTAAATAAAAAACAAAAAACAGTGCTTAATAATTATAACCAAAAGGAAGCTCCATCTCCAAAAAATTTCAAATGTATTTGGGTACAGTGTTGCATGACTGTGTTATAGTCAGTCAAACTATCACAGCACTGAAAATGGCCCGGAAAGGAAGGGGGTATGACATGCTGGAACTGAGGTGGTTAAATAATACAGATTAGTATTGTTCTTACCCCAACCTGTGATCAGAAGATCAAGCAGCAGCAGCACTCTAAGCCCATCCCTCTACACTCTGCTCTCTTCGATGTGCAGTACACCTGAGTGGCTTGTAGTGTTTCAGGCAGTGCATTGAGGAGGATGGTAGTGTGCCGGTAGATTAATGAAGTCAGGGCACAAATGTGATCACCACTGCTTTAATTTTAGAAGCAAACTTTAGAAT